TATCAATTGGTAGAGCCCTTGATAACAGAAAGAGATGCTGTGTATGAATCACTCACATATTCTTCTGAATTATATGTACCCGCGGTCTTAATTTGGAAAACCGGTAGAAATATGCAAGAACAAACCGTTTTTATTGGAAACATCCCTATAATGAATTCTTTTGGAACCTCTATAGTAAATGGAATATACCGAATTGTGATCAACCAAATATTGCAAAGTCCCGGTATTTACTATCGTTCAGAATTGGAACATAACGGAGTTTCTGTCTATACCAGTACTATAATATCGGATTGGGGGGGGAGGTCGGACTTAGAAATTGATAGAAAAGCAAGGATATGGGCCCGTGTAAGTAGAAAACAAAAAATATCTATTCTAGTTCTATCATCAGCTATGGGTTCGAATATAAGAGAAATTTTAGATAATGTTTGTTACCCTGAGATTTTCTTGTCTTTCCCGAATGATAAAGAGAAAAAAAAGATTGGGTCAAAAGAAAATGCTATTTTGGAGTTTTATCAACAATTTGCCTGTGTAGGGGGGGATTCAGTATTTTCTGAGTCCTTATGCAAGGAATTACAAAAGAAATTTTTTCAACAGAGATGAGTGCTTAAATCTTTACTTGGAATGACCTTACGATCTTTACATTCTCAACGATCTTTTCTTCTCATAAGAAAATAATCAATTTGTATTTTATTAGATCCATTCTTATAAGTAATGCTATGCTCATCTCTTTTCTTGAATAAAGTATTAACAATAACAAAATCATACGCTAAAACAAAATCTAATATGATTATTTTCTTCATTAATCACTCCAAAATCGTAGCTATTATAAATATTTTTAAAATCATCTACCACTCTACCGACATGTCTATTTAAGTCTCCTTCAATAAAATTTGTTTCTTCAAAAGATATCATTTGTATTAATTCTTCTAGGTTATTTCAAAATTTTTCTTTAGAACTTATATCTAAACCTACTTAAGGAGCGTAAGCACTTATAATATTAAAAATCTTAGTAACAATAATAATCTTAAGGGCTATAATTTTATTAATTTTTATAACATAATCTTTCAAACCCCTAACTATCATTACACCTACACTATTTCTAGTGTGACTTTTACCTTAATACCAAAGTTTAGAACCTAAGTTATCAATCTCCTTAGTTTTTTCTCCATCCCATTTAGTTTCTTGAATATATTAGATATTTATCTTTTTATGAATTATAATATCAACTAATTTCATTAATTTTTCTGTGAGAGTACATATATTCCAAGATCCTATCATAATATATGCATAGTTTTAATTATACATAATAGTTGAAACCACCCCATCTCTCGTCACGTTGAAGTTCACTCTAACATTCGTCAAAATCGAGCATCGAAGGTGCTTCTAATACTCGTCAAAGCCGAACATTAGTAATTTCTTTTTTATAATTAAAGGATTTTTTAAATTTTAATAGATAAGTTGAATGTATTTTTTTAAAGCATATTATATCTAATTTTAAAAACTAATTTTCATAATTATGAGGTTTTATAATACATATTAAATTTATGAAGTTAAATTTTATTTTTGTATAATTGGTGCCGTGATTTTCTCAATAAAGAATAATAGAAAAAATATATTTTTATATTAAAAATTAATCAAATAAAAGTGTCCATGGTGTGTCGTCTCCTTTTATTTTCAATTATGTTGTGTCCTTGTATCGTGTCATGTTGTGTTTGTGTCACCATGTCCATGTCCGGGCTTCATAGTTTGTAATTTATTATTATTCTGTATAAGTAGGGTTATTATGTTTATGGCTAGGGTTGTGCATGAGATTGAGTTGAGTTTAGGGTTAGAGTTTGGGAGAGATTTTTTACCTCTTGAATTGTAGGAACTGGGAGAGATTCTCAACCTATTGAATTGTGGGTGCTTATATTTATCTATTCCAATCGTATTGTTTGTGTTATTGAAGAAAAATAAGTTGTTCTGCGCTAATTTTGATGGAGTTTCCTATCAAATTTGAACATAGCCTTCAAGAACTGGGAATCCGACAGATCTTTGTGTGTCGGTTCGTGAGGTAATCATGTGAAACAATCCCAATTCGACTTGCAAACGAGATAGGACAGTGAATGTGAAGAGGAATCGCGACGTACGCTTAGAAGAACAATGAGATCACATGCATAGAGCTTTGTTACGGGCGATACAGCGGTCTTCATGACCAAAGTTCGCGATATAGTCGTGATTTGTGCTAGCTTGGAAAATGACGACGGTATCATGTTGAAGCACGACATCCAACACGGTCGTTGGAAGAACTAGCTATGACATAAACACGGGATTGTGGCGTACAGACACCTGCACAGTCACCATTTTTTTTGGCCAGAAACCAACAACGAGATTGCGGGGTATAGATCGTTGGAAAGTCGAAGGATCGCGATAGAGTTCCGCACCATTCTTATTCGAAATTGGCCATCTGGATTGTTGCGTAAAGGAGTTCTGCGTTGATTGTGATAAACTCGTGATCGGGATTTGTGACATACATGAATTCGAAGTGCAGCTTCCTCAATCCTGCGTGGCTTTCAATAGTTCCACCAAACTGTGTATGGGAATTTCGGGATTATAGCATCTAGAGTTTCACACACATTGAACCCACGTTTAAAAATTATGAACCTTGTGATTTCAATGTGAAGGAGTTCCGAACTTATACATGGGGTAATGAAGGCCAAGAAAGTAGATGACCTGGAGAAAAAATTGGAAGAAGAGCTAAGCCGACTTAAATCCCAAGATAGATGAAAGCTTTTTCTCCATTGAAAACTGATTCGAGAGAAGATTCACAGCCCTGAAAGAAATGATGAAGACAATTATGGAGTTTTACCCAAAATCGCCTTTGCTTGCCAAAGGGTCGAACGATAATGTCTGGAACGGACACGAGCAATAACAACTAGAAGGATTCGCTTGACATCAGGGCATCTTCACTGCTTTAGGCGGATCGGGAGCTATGATATCGAACAAAGAAATCTGGAACATATTTGAGAGGAAATATGTGGAGGGAATTGGTTTAGGAGGAGCGGCAACAACCAAATCAAGGGGACGTGCAATTTGGGGTTGTAGTAGATCTCTTCGAAGAATTTTGGTGTGGGACTGGGAACCACAATGGGTGGAACATGGTTTAGGGCTGCATTTAACCATGTCAGTGTCTTTGTTGCAGAAGCCTTCTAGGCAGAAGGCGGTTTGTAGGAGACTCTTCTGGATATTGTAAAGTATTCAGGAGGGAGGCAAAATAAAGGTGCTTCGTGATGACCCTAATTTGTGTAAGACATTGGCAACGCTGAAGACTATGATGAGGGCGATTCAGGACTCAAGGTTGAGATTCTTGATCAAGTTGCATATTATGGAAGCGACATATGATTGGTAGAGATTTCGGGGATCAATAAGCTATTAAATGAGTTGTTTGGGGCAACGATACTCTCCATGATTGACTTGAAGACAAGATGACACCACATTTGAATTTGATTGAAGGATGTGCACAATACAACATTTTGAGACGATAGGAGTTTTTGATTAAATGAAAAATAATGCCAAATGATGATGCCACGTGGGAGCCGTATGACTCGATACAACTACTATTTTTTTCACCTTGAGGACAAGGTTTCTTTTTGGGAGGGGAGTGATGTTACAACGACCCCTAAGGACAATGTAGTCTTTATTAGCCTAAGGGTAATTTATTCATTTTTTAGTTCTTATTGTTTAGTATAATAAGTCTAATATATTTAGGGTTAGAGTTATGCGTGAGATTGGGTCTTGAGTCTAGTGTTAGGGTTTGGGAGACAATTCCTACCTCTTGAATTGTAGGATTTGGGAGAGATCAATTACTTCTTAAATTGTAGGTGCTTATCTTTATGTATTTTAGTTGTATTGTTTGTGTTTATTTGAATTGTAGTTGCTTATCTTTATGTATTCTAGTTGTATTGTTTGTGTTATTAAAAAAATTAATTTTCTTTGCTCTAATTCTGTGGAGTTTTCTATGAAAATGCTCTATTTTTATTCGTTTATGTTGAATTTTGTATGAGATATGAAATCCATTTTACTTTAGATATTTGCAGACGCAATTGTGCTTGCATTTCTACTTGTCAGAACTTTGATGTTTATTTTCCCCTGCTGTTCCATGGGAACCTTAATTCTAAATCCTCACATGTTTTTCCCTTAACTAAGTTGGCATGCATGCGTGTCCTGCGAAAACTTTCAGTAATAAATAAGCAGATATATGCAGAATGCTATGAATCCAAAACTATCTTATTTATCTTCATCACCCGTTGAATTGTAGTGACATTTTTACCGGATAAGCTGTATCAATAAAATTAGTTGAGTTATGTTACACCTTCTGGGTAATGTTCTTTCCTGTTTGGTTCTTGGCACAAATTTGTGAAATTTGAGAAGGACAAAAAGTCAGTTACATGAAGACGAAAGTTAGGAAATCATTATTGATTATTTTAGAACCATTACCTTTTTTACTTTTTCTTGGCATTAAAGATGCTTTTGGTCATCATGCATGCATAATTTTATGGATATAACGATATATTTTACATTTGGGGATTTACATACATAGCACCCAATTCTTATGTATTTACTTATCTCACTCCTAAACTTTGATTTTTACAACAAAAGCACTTTTACCTATGGAAAGGTGGATTTCTATAATCCACCTTTAAAAATGCTTAGATTGTGAAAATCAAAGTTTGGATGGTGAGATAAGTAAATTCATAAGAATTGGGTATTGCATATGTAAATTTTCCTTTACATTTTATATCCAGCCATTCTCTTACTTAACACTCTCTAGATCATTCATGTTTTTGGGATTACAATTAGTCATAATAAGATTATCCATATCTTTAATATACTAGCCTTATACATGTTATTATGGTGTGTTGTCTATTATTAACTTTGATAACATCATCCTCCGCTTTCTCCTGCTTTTAGAATTTTTTATTGTAGAATTAATGGCATAATAGAATTATTTGATGGTACAGATGCGGCCCAACTTGTATGTGGAGGTTGCCATAGACTGCTAATGTATGCTCGAGGTGCTACTAGTGTCAGGTGTTCCTGTTGTAACACTATAAATCAGGCTAGATCTGGTATGAACATCTTTTAGTTCATGTTCTCATCTTAAATATTTGCATGTTTTCGATGCCTGAATAGTGATAATCAACACATATTACAATTATTCATGCTTAATTTTCTGTGGGTTAATGTTTGTTTATCATCTTGTACTTCATTTATATGAGATAACTTTTCTTTGTCTCCTTGTTTGATGATTGTAATTGGCTTTTTTTTTTTTATCTTCTTCAATAGGTTATGCTTCTATGATTGAGTATTGATATCAATATTGAGTATACTACTGAATGTTAATATTGAAACTTGACTCTTTTACTTTAAATTTTATTTAATCATAAAAAAAATGATTTTTGTGGCTTTGCTTGCATATAGTAGAATCTCTAAAATGTTATACGATACACATCTTAAAGGCATCCTTTATCTGTAGGATTGTGCTGGTATGCATAATTGAGCTATTAGGTTGAGCCGGATGATGTAATAAATATTAAAATTATTTTAATATAATTTAAATAATATAATAATATTATTTTTATTGATTAAATAAATAATATTTTAATTTAAGACACTTCGTTCTTAAATATTTCGAATAATATTCTAATTTAAAATTTTGAGACATAATATTTTTTTTTATTTTTAATTTAAATATTTTATTTCTAGTCATTTGATCAAAATTAAAAAGTTAAATTGGACAATATTAGAACTGGCTGGTTCTCTAAAAACCAAAACGGTTCCTTGGTTCAATCTCGATTCTGACAAGTTCAATCTCGGTTTAGTGCAGAATTGGTTTTGAGTTTGGACTAAACCGGTTATAAGTGGGATTGAACCGATAAACTTATGAACCTTTTTGGTTTTTAAAACCATGGTAAAGGGAGAACCTTTTTAGCAGGCTTTGAGAATATGATTAAAACATCAAAACAAGAAAATGTGCTGTTTGTAGCTCTCGAGTTTTTCTTTATAATTTTTGAGTTCTTTTGTGTATCAAATACTGGTTTTCTCTTTTACTTTCTTTCTTCCATATGGAGATTGTTATTATGTTTGTGGGTGCACGTCAGTCATTTGTAAAGGCGGTGCAGATTGCTTGGTTGAGCTACAGAAGGAATACATGAAGCTTTCTTGGGTCGTCAAAAAACGAATCTAATGGGTTTCAATACTCCATGTATTTAAGAGAACCTAAACATAGAAATCAAGAATGTACTCGCTATGATTTTGTATTTCTCCCTAGCTTTTGTGCTCCAGAAAAGATTGAAACAGGAAACCAAACGGTGCAGATTGCTTGGCTGATTTACAGAAGAAATATGTGAAACTTTCTCAGGTCATAAAAAAATATGAATCTAATGGATTTCAGAACTGCATGTTTCTTAGGAGAACCTAAATATAGAAATGAAGAATTTACTCGATGATTTTGTTATCCTCCCTAGCTTGAACTCCAAAGAAGGAAGAATGAGGCAGGAAACCGATGGTAGTAGTACAAGATAGATTTGAGCAAACTATGGGGTTTAAAGCTTTATATGCACTATTGTGCCATAACTTTTCTTTTCAGGGCGGGGAAACCTAGTTGTGAGATGAATGATTAAACATTTACCTTATAAGTATGTTAAAAGAATTTGGTAATCAACGCTTACTCTGATGCATAAGTGCTTTATTTTTTCTATCTTGGCGATCAATGATATACAAGCATGTGTTTGGAATGGCATGTCTTTGAGATATTTATAGCTTAGATTTTTTTAAAGCAAGCCTCTCTGTAGGCTATTTTCTTGCTAACCGTTGTTATTTGGGTTTCAAATGATCTCCGCTTTCCTATGTTTTATAATTATTTTTGGTTGTACCCCAAGATTTTAGGCTCAATGAAGGAAGCGGGCAATTGTCACATGTAAGAATTATTATTTTTTTAAGTTTTGGATTACGAATTTGGAAGCAATATATCTGGGGACAACAATCAATAAAGTCCTCAATGGCATCCAATCAAGACTGAAGGATGCTATTCCTGTGGATATTCATCATACGCTAATTGATGTAATGCATTTTTGTCTTTTTTTTTTAATATCTCTATATAATGGAGGCTTTAGTCTTCACATTGGAGGAAGTTTCACTTACTACGGACACAGTAATGTAGTTGCTACAGTATTGCAAGATTTGCAATCACGGGAAATGGGCCGAAACTATCAATTTTTCTTTTTTATGCTTTCTTTTCTATTATCCTTCATTTCTTTTTAGTCATTTCTTATATATGTGCTGTATTAGGGTTTGAAATTTATTTTTTCGTGTGTTTTGTATCAAGACAACCGTCAGCTTCTCTTCTTCCCTACGAGGGATGTATCCTAGGGTTTCAACTGGTGTTTCGACTGTATCTTAATTTCCAGGTGGTGATTTATCCTTCTTCCATTGCATTCTGCTGCTCCATGTCGTCCTTCATTGCTGCACCCTCCCCTAGAACAACAGTTTTTGTTGTTTTTACTGCAGTCTTCCCGTTCCAACCCTTCTTGCTCGCTGACCCCGTCCTGAATAGCCGCCCCTTATTGCCCTGTAGCACCCCCCCAACCTATCACTTCGCCCCTCTGCTGTCGTTATCCGGAAAACAGTAAATTTGTTGCTTTTTTGTTGTCCTCTGATTGCTCCAGCCTTTCCTACCGCGCCTCGCCGCCCAGCTCACCACCTCACCTGCTACCCTTACTGTCCCAGCATTCCGCTTCGCTGCCAACGCGAATCTAGACCATCCTTCGGCTATCCCAACCACTTACAATCCCATTTCAGTCATCTGCGTTTGCTCCCCCCAACCACCTAGCCAACCTCCACCACCCATGGGTCCTAGCGTGAGTTTGTTTCGTGTTTGTTGTAATTTCCTTTTTTATTGTGCTGATTGTAACCGCCTATTTACTTTTCATAATAATATATGTTTTTCTAAGTGATTTGGGTTAACTTCGGTATCATTTCAAGCCTTTCTCTTCAATGTCTTTGTATTGATCCCTTTGTTTCTAACATCGTAGCCAAGTCATTTCCTTCGATCCTCCTCTCTCCTCTCTAGGTTTCTCTTTCTTAGTCTTAACTGTGATCATGATTAAACATAGAATGTCCTCTGATAGAAACTTTCCTTTGATGCTAACTCCAGCCATGAAACAATTATTCATGGCAATATCGGTTTTCATGAATGCCTCTCTTTTTGCCTTTCACTCATTTGGCATGAACTAAACAATCAAAATTACCTCCATTGTGCGGAATCAATTATGATATTTAATTATCTCACTATTACAGTCATTTGTCGTCAGAAGAAATATACGAAGTGCAGATTATGGAGATGAAAATTATCATAAAAAAAGAAATTGGTAAAATTTCATATTTTTTGGCACTACAAAGGTGATATGGGATAAAACATAAGAAGCATACTCAAATAATCAAAATACAACCGCATTACTCAAAATTAAACGTGCCTTCGACAATTTTTGACAAGATGATCTTTCCATAACTCAAATTTTCAATACTTTTGATAGGAAAAGGTCATTGAAGAACTACGTTAACTAGAGGTTGTAACTAAGTATTAAAAGATGGTTAAAAAATGTAAGATAATCAGACTCTTTTTTGGACAAAAAAAAATCTTGATGTTAAAAAAAATAAAAAAAAAAAGCTTGATGTTGTTTGAGGATGCTTATTTGGAACAAAACTCATCCCATCTATTTGTGAAATGTTCATGTAGTATGGAAAGAGTCAAGTCATTAAAAGATCATGGTGGGAAACATGCTCCTCAAGATATGCGTTCATCCAGTGAAAATTACTCAAAAAAGGGAAGGCCTAGGTGTCACCACAGTAAAAAATTCGTACAAAAATGAAACTTGCTGGAAGTTTGCAATGGATATCTTTTGATTGGAAACCATGAAAACATGATTGGGGATTCTCAGCAACTAACAATGAATCTCTACAGCTACTATCTTCCTCTACATTGCCATGGTTTATCAAGTGCAACTTGAGATATTAAAGAAGGTCTTTAGACACCTTCAAACCAGCCTATTAGCACATAATATTAGCATCAAATCAAATGCTCAGAAAGGTATGGTCGCAACTGTAATTAATTTAAAAATTGGCAAGATTCAATCATGGATTGGGGACTTCAGGGCATTAGATCACTTGGCCAAGTATATTTTCCCATTTCACAAAATATATCCCTATTGTAAGTAGATAAACTTACGTAATAAAATTCTATTGTCAAAATATTAGGACTCTTTATCCTTACGATGATCAGAAAATCGACTTATTAAAACCCTATCGCAGGTCTCCGATCCAAAAACCGGAGACAAAATTCTTAATGTTCCATGTCCAGCAAAAAGTAAAAATAAAAATATCATAGATGCCCTCATCTATAATATGAAAGAGGTTTACAATCGTATAATTTTCATAGCAAAATTCAAGCTATGACTTATAAGATTTCTTGGAGATCTCAAAATCTTTATATATGAAAGAATCGATGATGATAATGTGTGGCAATCAAGCCATCATCAACATAGTTACGGATCCTATCCACCACAAAATTACTAGAACATATTGAGATTGATTGACACTTTACAAAAAGATAAAACTAAATATTGAATTTTCAAAATGATCCAGGCTCGTACAAAATCTCAAACGATTAACATCTTCACTAGGGCTTTCACTCAATCAATTTGAAAACGTCAATATCAAATTAGGAACGATCAAAATATATTTTCCGTACTTGAGAGGGATTCCAGAAATCATGTGAATGAAGAAAGCAGACCATTGCCCTCTACATGAATTATGAATGATATAGTTTAGGGCACTAATCTGGTAGAAAATAATTATGGGGATGGCACTCAAGAAAGTATTAAATGGCAGTCAAGCTCATGAATCTGTAGGTATTGTTAGTAGCCAGTCAAGACTACATGATATTATATTTTTTTTCCTTATTTTCTTACTGCTTTTCCGTTTTTTTCCTTCTCTCTCGCTTTTGCATTCTATATAAAGATGCCTTCTGCCTTCACTTTGGAACGAGAAAAGGAATAGTCTTTCTCTTCTATATCTCTATATTAGTCTGTTTATTTTTAACCTCTTTCTACGGTTTCATATTTTCGATTGACAATTGTTTGAATTTTCGTCTACATCTATTAAGTGGGTTGAAGGAGAGTTTCAAATATGTGTATGCCTTCATGGTTCGAAGTTCACAAATATAGTTGTTACTTCTGACTTCTGACATGAAAGCACACTCCAAGGAATACCTTTTACTTGCTTTGAATCTGAATAACTCCTTATAATTTGTTTTCTAAAGCATTAAATTTTTGAAAAATCATATATAACCACGAGTATAATTAGAGAAATCAATGGAATGGGATGGTGAGAACATACTGTGGAAGCCTGTTTTATGTTTCTCAAAACATTATAGTTCTTCGTGTTCGGCATTCTTTTAGCTTGTTGTTTAGGAACTTTTGTCACGTACCTCCATTGTCATTATTTCCTCTTATAGGCTTTGCTAGTTTGGTGTTGATATCATGGCTAGTGGCGGGACCAAAATATAAGGAGAAGGGTGACAAAATAAAAAAATAAATGGGTTACAAGTATTCAAGTTTACAACAACTTTTCTCTACTTAAAATTTGTTTATAATTATTAGAGACATGATTATTAAATTTAAAATATAATTAATATTAAATTATTTAAGTTTATGATGGGCAAAATTTTTAGTGTACCATGTAATATTAATGTGCTCAATAAAAAACCTCGAAGATGTAAGTCCCCTCCTCAAATTTCACTACCGATCATGGACAGCATACCACATATATCATTTTGGCGGATTTTTAGCATCCAAAGGTTGCTCATCCAATTATATTTCCTTGTATATTCTTTCCCTTTTTCAGAATATTTAATACTTTTGTATACAAGTATTATCAGTGGTTTTCTAAGAGAATATTTCTTCTTTCACGAAACACAAGCATGACAGCTTGGATCGTTAAATGCCTATGCTTTCGGCTCCTCTCAGTTGTCACTAGATAATTCAATTTTGTAGCTCGTATTAGTTTCTTAAAATGTTATTTCTTCTTCTTGGAGTCCTTAATACACATTTTCCAATCAGAGAATGTTTAGGCTTGCGTTGTATCTACTTTGCCAGAATTTCCATAAATAATGTAATGAAAGTAGCAGTTTTTAGCTTTTCAAAAATAATAAAACAGCTATTTATTGTTTCCAATCATATGAATCATAGTATTTTGTTTTTTTTTTTTTTTCAATACTGCACAAACACTTTGCCTATTCTAATGAACATAATGAAAAGCCAGATTCAAAAATCTTCTGCTCATCTCTTAAGTGCATTCTCCATTGCATATTTGTATATTGGGAAAATTACACACATAGCATGTAATTCTTATGTTTTTGCATATCTAACACCTAAAGTTTGATTTTTACATTTATAACATGTTGGTGTTATAATGTATGCTTGAAAAGATATATCTCACTTTTAAAAAGTTAGTAAGAGTGTTATTTTTAATATGATATTAAAGATTTGGGTGTAATACATGTAAAGTTAAATTTGTAGATATATAAGAATTGTGTGGTATGTATGTAAATGCCCTTTTTTATATCTCCTGCATTTTCAGTCTTCTAAAGATTTATGTTTTTTCATTCTATTTATCCAGCAAATCAACTTGCTCATGTGAACTGTGCCCAGTGCCATACAATGCTTGTGTATCCTCATGGAGCACCTTGCGTTAAATGTGCTTTATGTAATTTTATTACTAGAGTTGCGGTAAGACAATACCTTATATAATTCTTCCTTTAACTTTATAGAATAATTTGTTTTGATATTTTATTTTTATACCGTGCAGGTGAATAGTGGGATGATGCCAATCCAAGTAAACAGGCCAAGTGGTGCCGCACCGTCCCTTGCATCCACTTCAGCTGTATGTTTTTCACTTGTACAACTTATTTTGTACTGAAATTGGTTGAAACATAATTAGGGGTCCAAATGATTATGCTTATTGATTTATGGAGCCGAATACAAGTTGAAAGTCTGTTTGAAATACGTATATAAATTATGTCATATATATTGTCACTTACATTTAAATAGATTTATATAAATATAAATATATGAATAAAAAATTACAAATTACAAAATCTATTCATATAGATACATGCACGCGCGCGCGCGCACACATATATATATATATATATATATATATAAAGATACACACACACACACATATATATATATATATATAAGAATGGTTGAAGGCTATTATAGGAGCCACGTCCATCCCTCATGAGCCTAAGAATTCGAGTACCACAACCTACACTCGGAGGGAATCGAACTGTAGACCAGAGGGGACTTACAACTGACAAGCAGATGTCCGACCAACTAATCTGAGAACTCGATGCATATATATATATTGAAAGAATGGCCAGAGACTATTAGATGAGCCGTGGCCAACCCTAAGTGTGCTAAATATTCGACCACACCCTACACACAGAGGGATTTGAACCCTTGACCTGAGGGGACTTACGATCTTCAGAGTGGCTGCTCTACCAATAGGCCACGGAACACACACACACACACACATATATATATATAAGCATATTTAACTATGCATGCATATCAATGCATATTTTTATGCACGTATGGCATTATGAAGCCACTATCGATCTGAACCCATGATCAAACAAGGTCTTTTTTGTGCTTGGCGCACTGAATGAACAATAAAACTAGTCAAACTTGAGCTAATTATAAAGCAGAATGCGGATGAAACATAAACAACGAACATTTTTTCTTACAGCCTTACGTAAAAACACCTCATTTTCTTTCTTATTTTTCTCCTAACAGCCTTCGCCAAACTCTAATAACCAGACAGTTGTTATTGAGAATCCTATGTCAATAGACCAAAGTGGCAAGCTGGTACTATCCCTTTTCTTCATTTTGATTTTGCAATTTTAACTTTTTGCTTTTATAAATTTACAGTGAAACCCTTGTTTTTTATAATCATTCATACAGGTAACAAATTTTGTAGTTGGAGTTGCCGCAGGGAAAAAATGATTCTTCTTCTGTGGATGATTGTAATTGCTGTGTTATAGCTTTGGTGTTCTATCTCATTGTGGAGCTGTCAGTACATAAACTTAGTGGTAAGTCACTTGGCATATATTATACCAGTAAAAAAATAATTTTACATTTACAATTTTGTGGAATTTTAGATCAAAACATTACTACTATATGCACCTTCTAACGTTTGCTCTTCTTCTGGAGGCGAACATACCGTCTGTTATGTATATTTATGTTTTTTTTGGAAAATTTATTTACATACCACACAATTCATATATATTTATATATCTAACACCCAAAGTTTGTCATTTACACTCACAACAACTTAGTGTCATAAATCTACTATGCACGAAAAGGTTTATTTCACTCTTATTTTAAATGGTATGCATGCAAATATGAAAGTTTAGATGTTAGATATGTAAATGCGTAAGAACGGCGTGATATGTATGTAAATGCCTCTTATTTTTCTTCCTTCAATAATAATAATAATACTATTTGAAAATACCTTGTTCTCCTTGATGAGAGTTTTACTTATTACAGAATGTACTCAAATATGGTTATTTGAGCAATTGTGTTTTATAAATAGTAGGGGTATGTTTGACTCTGTATTATATGCATAATAATACTATTCAGATATTAATATTATCTGTTAAAAATATGATGTTTTAGATTGTTTATCTTGAATAATATTCTTAATGATTAATGGTGATTATATATATATATATATATATATTGTCAATGAAAGTTGAGATAATATTAAATTAAATTTAATTTTATTTTTAGTTGGATTTTTAAACATTATCTTTGTTTAATAGAATTAAATGATAATTGTCGGCATTATTTTTCCACTATAAACCTAGTCTTTTTCAACTAATCAAAGGCCTCTAATTTTTAAATATTTTCTCAATTGATTTCACATTTATTCTTATAGTTATTTTTTTAATTACAATTATATCATACATAAAAAAATATTTATTATGATTTTTTTTCATTTTAAATATCATTTATGAACAACTGTATATTCAATTAAGAGATATGTAAACATTGTTAATATTTGATATAAACTAATTATGATTGGAAACTCTCAAATGACTATATAAATATTTGTAATATTAGTATTTTATCATATATATATATACCTTTAATGATATCAACATGTCTCCATCATATGCTTATTTCTCTCTTAAACAGCATCAAATCAATTCATGTGGCAATTAATCATACATCTTTTTTAGATCAATAAAAATCATTTATTTAATTTATATATTTATCAATTAAGTACCTCAACAAAAAAATTACTTTTATGGTAGGTTTTTATAAATTGAAATCAAAATTTATATTCCAAATTTGATATATTTTTGAAGTTTATGTTCCATTACTCGCTTTTATTTTATAGTATGATTATTAAATATAATTGTTCTATAGCTAGAAGAGCTTATAACATTTTCTTTATATTTATATATGGATATCAAAATATTTCTCCAAATATTAATATTATCTTAGAATGTAAAAGTCTAGTAAAATTTGTTAATCAAATAACTTCTCATCTATACCTAAAAAACTACATCTATGAGTATTTTAAAGCACTTTATTGTTGGATCAATCTATTACATATTTCAATATATTGTTCATTATATTTTTCACTGGGACAAGGATACAAATTCATGACATGTCTATTATTAAAAAAAATAAAATATTGATATAACATTATAGTTTATGTTTTAAGAATAAATTTATTTATTTTGCAATCCTTTATTTGCTTGAATTTAAATTTCCTTGTAATAAAGCAATCTTATTCACTCCATATGGTTGAAGTTCATGGGTTATATAATCATCGTAGTAATATTTTTAGGGGTTTATTTTTAAAAGCATAGTACACCAACATGATTTTAGTATGTGTGTGTATCTATATATTAGACTTTAGAATAACAAATACTAATCATATGTTTTTAATAAATATGAATTGATAGAAATGATCCATGATAAAAAAAAAAAAAGTAATGATATTTAAGAATGAAAGAAATACAAGTGATTGTCAAATTATTGATAAATCAAGATAGAAGGAAAAAAAATAAAAAAAATGAATAATAAAGAGTGCAAAAAAGATAATAAATAATCAAAATTTATGTGGGGGCAAAATATTACTTCCAGACAACGACTGTCATCCATCAGAAGGAGCTAAGAAGGGAAAAAAAACGACCTCCATTGATTGCAGTCGCTGTTCTGGTGCAGCTTGCGTCTAAACTCAGGACGTAATATTTTTTCCCAATGTGGAGCTCTTATCACATTTGGATAGACTTATTGGTAGTAGGCCCTTGCTTTTTAATATATGAAGCACATATTAAAGTTGTTCAAATATTAACAAAAAAATTATTTTGAATGGGAAAATTTACATACATACCAGTCAATTCCTTTATATTTACATATCTAACATGTAAATGTTTACATATACGACCCTTTATCCATGCAAGAAAAAGGTGTATTTCACTTTCTAAATGAAAACAATGATATTTTTATGTGATATAAATGTAAATAAGAAAAGCTTGTAAATTTTATTTTTGTAAATCCGAGAACCCATCAATTTGACTCACTATTTTTAAAATTTATTTTCGAATTAAAAAAAATTTCATATTGATTAAAAAATAATTTTCATATTCTTTAACTCCAATTTGCTATCATGTCTAAGTGAAGTCTTATTTTATGATAAATACATTACAAAAATTACATTTGAAGGATGATGAATATTGACATGTAAAACTCTCATATGAGAAATTAAGATATTATAGAGATATATATGACATTAAAAAAGGGGGGATTTACATGCACCTATGCACGGTCTATATAAAATCTCATCCAATGATGGGGATGGTCCAAACAAAAAATAATATATATAAAAAAAAAAGGTAGAGAGGTCCCAAAACCAGTAGCTGGATGAGGAGATGAAGATGACATTGATGATGATGACAGGGATGAAAGAGCAATTTCATGAGTATTAATTGGGTAAGGTCAACATCTGCTTGCACAACTTATTGCTCTTTTAATTTATATTGTGGACATATTGGAACTATATTTGTTATAAACTATATTTAATACATGATTTCACTTTCATTTTTTTTTATTCCACCTTAATTAGTGATTAATTTGACTTACCTTTTTTGGACTCAAATTTATCCATAGATTACATCCAAGTAATAGAGAAAAAGAGCCAAGGGAGATAGACATATTACCCTTTTATATTTCATGTTCATCTATTTGTAGGGAATCAGAATAATTGTTAAGTCACATGCATGACTTTTAAATTTTTTTTGGTCATTCGATCTTCTTTGGCTGCTGGCCTTTGTTCAGTTTTTTCTTATTAACTCCTGAACCGATCGGTCATCTAAGTTGGTCGTCTCTTGAGTTAACCGGCTCTTAGGTGGATTACGGGTCAGTTAGCCAACTGATCCTGATCAGTTGGTTAGTTTCTTCTTATCTCGGATATTCACATCTCGCTTGGATCTTTCAATACATGTCGGGCGACCCTCAGACCTTCTAATATAATATTGATTTAAAATATGTGCAGCTGCGCACCCTAGTGCCACTTGTCTAAAAGGGACCATCAAAATACTTGCCGATTCATAAAATCTAATCATTATGTCCACGTGTTTGTAATATATCCAAAAAAATTATAAAAAATAAATCAAATACCAATTTTGAATGGGAAAAAAACACATTCTGAATTTCCCAATGTAAGGAAATGAGATATATATATATATATATATATATATATATTTTATATATATATTGAAAGTATCAAAATATAATTTTAAATTATTTTTTTATTATATTAACCGGGTAAATAAAATAAAATAAAATAAGATGTGTGTAATTTACATTAATTATTGTTTTGTAATTTGTATTCATTACTATGAAGCAATAATGGAAATGAGCCGGTGACCAATAAACTTGATGCTCATTACAAGCAATAATTAATGAGAGCATTATTGTACTAAAAACAAATCCAAATGCAACACTATTCAACATCAATGAGTCCAAATGTCTTCAATAATGTTCTCCAATAGCTTCAATATTTAGGAAAATAAAAATTATTGATTCATCATTTAAAATTTCTAAATTAATATATTTATGCTATCCTAAACTATATTATCATTAATATAGTGCAATAATTTATACTAATATATATGTACTTAATATCTACTTTATATTAATTTTGATGACTCTTTTCAAGCAATTGAAACATTTATTTGAAACATTTATATGTTTAGATAATAATAGTTCAGTTTGAGAAATTATTTTTATGCTACTTTTTAAAAAAATTATGACGAAGAGTTTTTATTTTGTAATTGAATTTGTTAATGTGTATTGATTGCAAGAAAATTGTCGTCTAATATTCAAAAAAAAATCTCATTACAATTTTATGAGAACTCTAAATCTTAAAACTTTATAGCTAAAAGCTCCGCTTTCTCACCAGACCTAACTGTTTATTATAGTTGCTAGAAAGCTGTAGTCTGACTTTTTCACAAAAAAAAAGGATTGTAAAAACCATCACAACTTTTTGAATAACGATTTCTTTTTCAACAGCTTCTTCAAACGGCTGCAGTTGCCCCAAAAAGGCTTAGAAGCATGCATTCTCTCTATTTTATCATAATTACCAAAGTTTTAATTTTTTTTGGGACTATAAAGGGGGAAAAAATGTTTTTTTTCTCCAAAAAAATAATGAAATTTTGAAAAATAAATATTACATTTTTTTATTCATTATTCAATATTAATTTTAAATTCTTAAATTTTCTTAAATAAACCCCAAAATAATAACTTTAATTTTCTGATTCAAAATAAATAAAAATTTAATCATTTATCATTATTTATATTTTTATGTCATTTACATATATCTATATATCTATATAT